TTTAAATTTGTAGAGATTTAATAAAAACATAATTGCAATAACATTAAGATATAATCTAATGTTATAGAGGAACAGCAGTATCTTGTTTTTGTTCTGTCAATGCACGAGGCTCATGGAAGAACACAGCTGGACGGATGCCCTGGAAAGAGAGAGAAAATTGAATGAAGTCAGCATCTCTTTTGCCCTGTTCCTTCTTGAATGAAATAAAAATTTCATCTCATACAAGATGTATAAAATACTGCACTAATGCATATACCTATCCATTACTGCTAACATCCCAAACAAAATGAAAGAAGAAGAAGAAGAAGAAGAAGAAGAAAGGAAAAGAGAGAGAAAAAAAAGAGAAAAGAAAAGAAAGAAGAGAAAGAAAGAAAAGCAGAAAAAGAAAGGAAGAAAGAAAGAATAAGAATAAGAATAAAAACCAATGCAATGCAGCCAATGCATCTGGAAGAACACCAACCTGATTCTCGACTGATCTAACAAAGTGTCTGTTAGATGTTACAGTCACCGCTCTGTGGGCCTCACTTGTGCCAAAGATTATTCTAGAGAGCAGTCGCACTTTCCCCCCAAGCTTCACTTTTTCCTGGAGAAGAAGTTGGTGATGATCATGACGATGAAGTTAGAGTGGTGATGGTGATGATGATGATGATGATGATGATGATGATGATGATGATGATGGTGGTGATGATAATGGTGATGGCAATGAAGTTAGTGTGATGATGATGGTGATGAAAGTGAGAGGGAGTGAAGGTAGGAAAAACAGGGATAGGGATGGGGAAGGGAAAGAGGACGGGAAAGGAAGAGGAGGAGGAGGAGGAGGAGGAGGAGGAGGAAGAGGAGGAGGAGGAGAGGAAAGGGAGGAGGAGGAGGAGGGGAAAGGGAAGAGGAGGAGGAGGGGAAAGGGAAGAGGAGGAGGAGGGGAAAGGGAGGAGGAGGAGAAGGGGAAGGGGAAGAGGAGGGGGAGGGGAAAGGGAAGAGGAGGAGGAGGGGAAAGGGAAGAGGAGGAGGAGGAGGAGGGAGGAGGGGAGGAGGAGTAGGAGGAGGAGGAGGAGGAGGGGAGAGGGAGGAGGAGGAGGAGGAGGAGAAGGAAGAGGAGGAGGGGAAAGGGGGAGGAGAAGGAGAAGGAGGAGGAGGAGGAGGAAGAGGAGGGGAAAGGGAGGAAGAGGAGGAGGAGGAGGAGGAGGAGGAGGAAAAGGGGAAAGGGAGGAAGAGGAGGAGGAGGAGGAGGAGGAGGAGGAAAAGGGGAAAGGGAGGAAGAGGAGGAGGAGGAGGAGGAGGAGGAGCAAGGGGATGAACACATATTTGATACATATTAATCCTCTATTTACATTTTAACAACATATTTACACCTATAAAATAATATACTTATCTAATACAAATCATAATCACATATTTATCTACAATTCCTAATTTAACACATTCCAGCATCAACAGACAACACTATAAGGTAAAATACACCCACTTGAAATGTATCTTGTCCGGGAACGATCGTAAGGCGAGACACCAGTTCTTTTGCGCGAATCTTCTCTCCGTCGCCTCCTATTATCTTGACAATTTCCGTAAAATGGTCGACGGCTTCTTGACATGCCATCATTTCTCGTCCTGTGTGATGGTTAAAATGATGTTATGTGTATATGTTTAGTCTATATCTATATACAGATTAGTCATTGAGAGTTACTTAGAACCTGATAAAAAATTTAGTTGATAAGAATTTTCAAAATAATATAGAAATATAGAGTTGAATTTTATGTATATTTGATGTATTACATACAGTTTACAGCAGACTGAAGTGACATTTATTTACATACTTATTTCCATTAAAGCTAACAAAATATAAACTCTAAAGAAGAATAAGAATGGTAATAAGAATAAGATGGAAAAAGAAAAGAAAAAGATAAAGAGAGAGAAAAAGAAAAGGGCAAAAAATAGGATAGAAAAGAGGAAGAGAAGGAGAAATTTATGCTGAATTTTCTCCTACTGCTCCCCACAAATATAACTACAAAGGACTATCTGAATAACTTAAAAAATAGACAAGTACTTTCTACCAATAAGTCGATATATAAAGACGATGAAGTCTGAATTAACGCAGTGATAGCACACATACCTGCCCTGTCCATTGTGGTTTTAATATATTAATTCTATTTACTTCCCGATACTGCCACAAGTGCTAAGTCACCCAGGATTTAATTATTAGGCCTATCTGATCTAGCCTGTTTATATCATTCCCTTTTATTTTATATTGCTATTAGTATTACTAATAGCAATATAACAATGATAATGTCAATAATGATAAACAGTATTGATATTAATTACATTAGAAAAAGATAGTTTTCCTGAAAATCCAAAGAATGGGGATATCAAGTGAGGTTACATCTGCTTACGAACTGACTCCTTGGTGGCTGACCACTTGTGTCTAGGAACAATTCACAAAGGAAAACTACAGTGGACATTACATATTCCCGTCTCACTGGTTAATAATGACTATATACTCGTAACTATTATTGGTATTAGAAATACAAATTTTTATTCCCATAAATTCAAGTAATGGGGTAAACAGGTGAGATCATATAGGCCTTGAACTTTCAAAGCCTTCTAGACTATGTGTAAACAAAATTGACAAAATTATAGTAGACAATGCATTGCCAGGTACAAACAGTTAAAGTATCTATATCTGCAAAGAAAACTATCAGTTTAATGTTTCCATGAAAGTAACCTCAATGGCTGTAACTGACAATGACTGCTGAATTGCAAATACTAAAGAAGAAGAAGAAGAAGAAGAAAAGAAAAGAAAGAGAGAGAAAAAAAAAACAATTCCGCTAGAATCTAAAGTGTCTATTACCAGGTTTACTTTCAAATTCTAATTATGAATATAAAAATTATAACAATAACAACAAAAATAATCATAGGACAGTGTGATACTCCAATTCATGAGAAAAAGGCAGACTATGACAAACCTTCAAAATATCTATTGAGGACTTCCTTAACTGGATTCTTCCTTTCCCACTCAGCTTGCTCACTAAGAAATTTGTCCTGAAACCGTAAGTTTGCATGTCCATTTGATGTGGCTGATACATAGGCTATCATAGCTGTCACATCTAAGTTGACAGTCTCAATTTCTTTATTACTTTTCCTAATACCATTATTTTCACAATGGCAGTTGGTGTCGTGTGAAGCCGAGGACTCATCACTACCCTTGCTAATGTCCCGTGTAGGTGATGAGTATTCTTTCAAGTCCAATGCGTTTTCAATGGTTCTACTGTCAGAAAAGTTTATATCACTGCAGGAGTCATCCTCACTTTCCTCGCTGTAGTCGTCAGTACTATAGTCTTCAGAATCTGTGTCTGTGTCTGTGTCTGGCACAGAGTAATCCGGGAGTCCCAGTTCATCGTCCGGGATGCGTGTCCCTTTGACTAATACACCTGAATCCTCTAGGCACTTAGTAAGCCCTTCGCTCACACCACTGCGGAACCAAAATTCTACCTGGAAATCGACATTTCAAAATCATATTTAGAAATATTGATAGGAGTGATCCTCTCCTATACTGTTTGTCAATAGTTGAAAACATACAAAACAAAAATTCAACATGAATCCCCAACCTCATTGGCCATAAAATTCAAACCTCCTTCCAAGGCAGGACTATGACAAAACCTTCAAAATATCTATTGAGGACTTCCTTAACTGGGTTCTTCCTTTCCCACTCAGCTTGCTCACTAAGAAATTTGTCCTGAAACCGTAAGTTTGCATGTCCATTTGATGTGGCTGATACATAGGCTATCATAGCTGTCACATCTAAGTTGACAGTCTCAATTTCTTTATTACTTTTCCTAATACCATTATTTTCACAATGGCAGTTGGTGTCGTGTGAAGCCGAGGACTCATCACTACCCTTGCTAATGTCCCGTGTAGGTGATGAGTATTCTTTCAAGTCCAATGCGTTTTCAATGGTTCTACTGTCAGAAAAGTTTATATCACTGCAGGAGTCATCCTCACTTTCCTCGCTGTAGTCGTCAGTACTATAGTCTTCAGAATCTGTGTCTGTGTCTGTGTCTGGCACAGAGTAATCCGGGAGTCCCAGTTCATCGTCCGGGATGCGTGTCCCTTTGACTAATACACCTGAATCCTCTAGGCACTTAGTAAGCCCTTCGCTCACACCACTGCGGAACCAAAATTCTACCTGGAAATCGACATTTCAAAATCATATTTAGAAATATTGATAGGAGTGATCCTCTCCTATACTGTTTGTCAATAGTTGAAAACATACAAAACAAAAATTCAACATGAATCCCCAACCTCATTGGCCATAAAATTCAAACCTCCTTCAAGATGTTACCATTTATTTAAAAAAAAAATATGAAATCTCCCTTAACATGGTATACTTAAAAGTATTTATATTCACCTTTGGAGAAGAATAAAAGACCTGGTTTTGTTCTGCACACATCAAGAAATCTTCGCCAACTTCATCTAAAGGTTTGGAAGCTCCTCTTCCTCGCGTGACGAAGGCTAAGTGAAGGGCTTTGGGGTTTCTCATTATAACCTGCATTTAATAAACAAAATCTCCTGTATCATGATGATTCATATAAATTAAGTTCTCTGTATCAAACCTGTCATGTTAACTTCATTATATTCATGGTGTGTATATTGTGTTTATTGTATTGACTACATCACATTAACTTTATTATTGATATTACATTTACTACACTCTATCTATCATATACACTATATTATCTACAATATAGTTATTATGTCCAATAATTTACAAGTATTATGTCATATCAGAACTATGAAACATTTATCATTACTGTGATTTTTTTTTATCATTATATATTTTTTAAATTATTCCCCTCATCATCCACATTTTGACATAACTTTTAGAAAAATAAATATTCTAAAAACTACTTAATTCTACAATTTTTCACAGTACTTCATTTTTGGGTTAAATATCATCTAAGTCATTAAAAGTACTAATATATGACCTAATCTCCCAATGTACTAAGTTCAGATCTCATTTACATGAAACTGTAACATGATTTTCATCTATTCCTTTCCAAATAAATAATATGAAAAATGGACCCATTTGATTAATTTTCTCAAGTCTTGGCCTGGATATTCAAGTCTGGATGAGTTGAAGGTACAAGTAGAAGCATAAATTCATTGATGATTTTAAGATCTACTATAAGTCATTCTGATTTTCTCTTGTCCGCATTTATCCCATATTAACTCAGATCTAAAATTTTCAGTTGCTGAAATAAATAACGTAAATCTTCTCACAATGGCAAAAAAATAACACTTCTAAATCACTCTCAATATCCCATGATTTTGTGTCGGCCTGATCAGTGTCTCATCCCTGTGGCTGCCAGTCCTTGAAGATTAAAATAATGAAGAAAGATTTCCTACTAACCTTTACCCATTTCCTTCCCTCATCTGCCACCACATCTACCACAATTTTTTCAACTCCTCCGAAAGAAAAAGTTGTAAGTACTCCAGTTACCTGTAAAAGGATGATATATTTTATAATATGGCACAGTAATTACTCCATTCTCAATACTATCTCTGGCTTATGATAAATATGTAAATAAATCTAACCTTCCTCTGTAATTATTAGATTATTCACTATCCTTAACCCATTGCCGCCGGGGAAAATGAACAAAAAATGGGGGAAATGCAGTACTCATTTTTTATATTTTTGTGAAATATCTGGCCACAGATGGCTCTGCTAGTCCTGATTTCACCTTTCCTTGAATTGGCGGGAAAAAACTTATTTTTACTAGTGCTATAAATATAGATGGTGTTATTTTTAACAGCAAATTAGGATAACATTAAATATTTTCGTAAATCGATGAAAAGGGTGAACGGGCGAGAGAGGCAGTACTGTAATTGGCTCATTGGATACTTAGTACAAGTGTAGCCATCTGTGTGTAAAAACAATTGAACAAGTCGACTCACAGTGGGCATGGCATGTACGTACATGCCATCCCCGGCGGCAATGGGTTAAAATAATCTTTCAAGCAAGAGGTGTCATTTAATAGTGAATAAGGGAACTATATATCCTCTACTAGCAAAACACACACACACACACACACACACACACACACACACACACACACACACACACACACACACACACACAAACCATTCATCAAGTCATCAAGATAAAGATACACACATCAGTAAATACATATACTGTATATAATTTTTTTGATTTTCCTTTCTCTACTCACATTAGGAATTTCTGTAGCAACATCAGCAAGTGCTTCTAGCTGGCCCAAGTTCGAACACTGTATATGCTCTTCCTTTAGTTCATTCTTATCTTCAAGTTTCTGAAAAGATAAAGATAAATGTCAAAACATCAGTAAAGATGAAAATGTGTATCTATACAAAATAATGAACAGTAAAGAAAACATTTTTACTTTAAAGTAGAAAAAAAGTTCAATTCTACTATCTCTTTTATTACTGTAAGATAGAATATATAAATTCTATATTGACTAATTAAGAATAACTCAACAGACTGACTATATGTAAGATACAGGTCATATACAATAGAAATATGCCATATACTAGTTCAAGACTCTTGAAAATGACAAAATTTAAATAAAAACTCCAGTAAGTATTATCTCTCATCAAGGTTTCTTACTGCTTGAAAGATGTGGAAGAAAAGAGAAGAAAATCAAAATGAAGACAAAAAATGAACTTGAATTTATTAAAAACTGGGGACTTGAAATAATTACTATTTCGGATAAATACTTCAAAGTATTAACACAAAGAACACTACTCTCATACAGCACTCCTCATTTTGACACTAAAAACCTAGTCATATCAACCTGCATCTTAATCATTACTCTATAAAAAGTCACACACATTCACACCTTTGTCAGACACTTTATTTCTGCCTGGACGCGTCTCCTCAGCTTTGATGCTCCGTTAATCGATCTGTCATTTAACTTGGAAATTCTCTGGAGAAGAACTATACCACTGTCGATCTTCTTATTTGCTAATTCTACAGCCATTCTGGAACTGGTTTATATATTCCATAACTGTAAAGAAAGAAAATAAGGTTTATTATCTAATCCTTTGAGAAATGTCTTCATAAAAGAGTAATATGAATATAATTTTACCTCAAAATTGCTAATAAATGTCAATAAAAGGACTAAGAATTTGGTTTATAACATTATTAGCTCTGCCATTTCAATTCTATTTAAAGTCAAGTATTTAAAGAAATAGCAGATGAAACAATAAGACTTATTTATAATAATGTGCACATAATAAAAATAGATCATATGTATACATACATATGCATATATGTACATATATACATACATATATATATATATATATATATATATATATATATATATATATATATATATATATATATATATATATATATATGTATATGTATATGTATATGTATATGTATATGTATATGTATATGTATATGTATATACTATATATATTATATATACACATATATATCATATATACATATATATATATTATATATATACATATATATGCATATATATATATATATATATATATATATATATATATATATATATATATATATATATATATATATATATATATATATATGTATATGTATATGTATATGTATATGTATATGTATATGTATATGTATATATATATATATATATATATGTATATATATATATATATATATGCATATGTATATGCATATGTATATGCATATGTATATGCATATGTATATGTATATGTATATACTATATATATTATATATACACATATATATATATCATATATACATATATATATATATATATATACATATATATATATATATATATATATATATATATATATATATATATATATATATATATATATATATATATATATATATATATATATATTATATACATATACATATAATATATAGACATTTATATACATAAATAAATAAATAAATAAACAAATAAACAAATATATATATATATATATATATATATATATATATATATATATATATATATATATATATATATATATATAGTATGTATGTATGTATATATATGTATGTATGTGTGTGTGTGTGTGTGTGTGTGTGTGTGTGTGTGTGTGTGTGTGTGTGTGTGTGTGTGTGTGTGTGTGTGTGTGTGTGTGTGTGTGTGTATTTGGGTTATTTTTTTAATTACTTAACTGTCACCTCCCACAGTGTTAATAATATTGGAAGTGGTAGACTGATAAAATCTATGATGTGTTCTCATAACAAACTGAAAGATAATAAAAGCAATTTAAATTGATAAAGGGTTTCGTCACTGCATCTGGAGATGAAGTTGTTGACTGTACACAAAAGAACAAGAAAAAAACACAATTTATTTCTCAATACCGGTTATTTAAAGTTTCTTCTTCTACGTTTATCGAAATTCCCACGTCGTTAATTTGTACATTTGGTTAAAAATATAGTCCTTGCTACTTATTTTCATTCGTAACCTCCACGAGAAAATTTTTATAAAATCTCATCACTACTTTTTTAGGAATTTCTCACAGGAAATGAACCTATACCAATACTTTCTGTGCACTAAGAAACGAATAAAGAATTCAGCAACACTACAAACTCCTTAACAACGGAAAAAGAAGGAAAAATACAAGACATTTTCACGTTTATGCTTACCACGTCACATAATGGACAGACTACATGCAAGGGAGACACTGCATGGAAACAATCTTTATATTCATTGGTATTTTTCTTCTTCTCTGTAACTGCGGGTTAAATCATGTCTGAAAATAATATAAGAATAAATCTTTGATGAATCTTTTTTTTTATATTTAAATCGTGAGTGATTTTATTTTTTCCTTTTCTTTTCTTTTCTTTTAGATATTTATATGGAAATGTGTTTATATAGTTTATCCCTTTGACTCTGATTAATATTTTGAGTTAAAAAAAAATGTCATGAAATTATTATGTGAAGTCTGATGGATACTTTTGTACATATGTTTACGTGTATGTATATATAGGTATACATTCCTGTATACTTGAACGCGTGCATGTGCGGATTGACATATAATACAAATAACAATAAAACAAATCAATATAGATTAAATATCTTATCTTCAACCACCAAATACCAAAAAGTATATATTCTCAATCCTCCATTAAAATAAAAATAACAATAAGGGAAACCGGGCTAAACTCCTACTCTCGATTTCGAAGCAACCATCACTCATTGTTACCTTTGCTATTACATCAGCGTGCGGGTTTGTGTGTTAATCAGAATTTCCCGTAACAATTGTATTTTGAAAACTTTTGCCGTTTACTGTGTTTATACATTTTTATATCTTAAAGATAAACATCTATTTGGAGACGGGAAAGGGGGAAAAGAATTAGGTATTTGTGTTTATATACGAAATATTCAGCCGGTCATAGTTGGTTAGGAGTATGAATTATATATAAAAAAAAAGTAAAATATAATTGTATGAGGAAGCAATCAGTTCATTTAATGTCCTTTGCTGATATAGTTTTAGAGGCAGATAAGGTCAAATTTGAATTAAAATTGGCATTAATTGAAACAAGATTTTTATTTCTCAAAGTATGGATCTCTTATGCAAGGAAACAGATACATGTTATGGGAGGTATTCCAAATATTTATCCAGATACTATATCCAGGAACAAAAATTGAAAACTGTAGTTTATGCTGAATATATTTCGTACTCACTCAAAGATTTGGGTAAAATGTTGCCCGGAATCAGGTCTGATACCCCTGTATTGTATATATTTTCAATGATTTCAAAAGCATCTAATAGTTTATTCATCAAAGGTATCAAAGATTCATAACACTATAGTTAGCTTTGAATGCTTGAGGTTGTGGTTAACCTTTACAGGATGGATGCACAAAGCTAGGGAAAATTGAAGAGGATATTCTTGTAGAGGACAAAAAAGTTGTAGGCATTGGTACAATTACAATCTGCAGATATGAATGGTAACACCACGAATAAAAGAAAATGATCGTGGAAAGTCCACATG